AGAGGTGAAAGGCGAGCAAAGAACTAGTTCATCAACCCAACTCCCCAAACTGAATCTTAATTATGCTAGTATAAATATATCACTATTGTTATTTTCTCAGTCACTCTTGAAATTTTGTCTTGTATTATGAAAACTCTGATGTACAGGTAAAATGAACTTATTCTTGCCTTCTGTGTGGGCCTACACGTGTTTAAAAATGCAGTAATCTTTTTTTGTGTTTTTTTCTGAATACACCGTCGAGTAAGATTTTCTTATTACAGGGTTCAAACCCGAGACTTCAGTAAACATTCCAGTGCACCACCAACTGTAGTAGGCCTAAGCATTACTTTTATTCACATTTTTTTCAGGTACAGTGTACTTCTTGTTTTGAGGTATAAGATGCCTCTTCATTTTTTCCTAGAACTTTCAATAAAATAAGGCAAGCCACGGAAGTGCACTGTTATTTTTATCTAATTTGACAAAAGAGCCCATATAGAATTTTCATTTGTTGCAGCAGTAGAGAAGAGATGCAGTGTACTATCAGCTGTCTTCAAATGTTAATTTGTTTTTCTTTGGTTTAATGTCTAACATAACCACCATCCCCCAGAAGATATGAGCACCCTGTGGTGTTAATGGAATTGACGAGAGAACCCCCCTGGGCTACGCTCAGCTCCTCGGAGGTAGCCATCCCCAACAGCCAATCAGGGACGGGCATTTCCAAGGGGGCTTGCATAGCAACAGCCAATCAGATGGGCAGAGACAGTTGCCATGGTGTCGTGTGGTATTCAGTTCCTTGGTGGGGAGACTGATGTTGGGCACTATCAATCATGTTAGGAATGAAACTCTTGTATGTTAGTTTGCACATTCCCAGTAAAAAAGAAAATTTGGAAGATATGTTCTGCATATGTTACGGTAGCATTTGGATTATGGCGCTCTGGAAGGCTCCTTTCTAGAATATGCTAAGTATTTTACAAATTACACTGCCCAAAGCACAGAATTTCATATTATGTCACCTAAAAGATCAAAACCTGAATTTCTTTCACTTAATATTTAAATTCGTGTGACTTCAAACAACTTAAACCACCACCCTTGTCTGGAATCCAACTTTATTTTCTTGTAAGGAAAACTAGAAAAACACAACGTTTTTTCAGTCTACACAACATTTTTCAGTCTTAGCATTAATGACTTCAGTTGCATGTTCTTGACATTCACAACTTCATTTGCATGTTCTTTACAGCAGAACAAAGGGTTTTCTCTGTCCAATTTTGTGGCCTGCCAGGCTTGGTGCTTGCTTTCAACTCCAGTGACTTTGTGGGTGTCAAGGTATTTGTTGCCTGGCTTCACAGCAGTCATTTCTCTGTAACAATAAACAATTAATCATTCCATGTTAGAAGGCAGGTATGCTAAATTAATTCACCCCCGGGGGCGGAGCTGTTTTCATGGGCTTCAGTAAAAATAATTCTCCAGAATTGATTGTCATTGGATAACGGCCATGTCAAGAAAATGTGCTGGGGTTCTGGGGTTTTTTTTTTGAGGGGGGGGGAGTTGTAAGGTGAGAGAGTGGAATCGAAAGATTTGATTTGTTTATTTCCTCAAGAACCAATGGTAGTAAAGCTTAATGTATATGTAAATCCTTTTACATGAGTTGCCTGGTGCAAAGTGAAAGTCGTCGACCCCCCCCGAGACAAACCCACGTACAAAAGTTATGATTTTTACCCACTTTTCATTTGAATTTATGAACGAAACAAGAAATCCAAAATTGGCACCGTTTGCAGCCACATGACGCTGCCTATTAGCTGCTTTTTTTAATAAATATATAAAACCTGTAAGGGATTTTAAGGAGGGAAAAATGAGGGTTGAGAAGCCCAGGCTTCTCCCACAATGAACGAATGTGTTCCTTTTCACTGGTCAAGATTGATTCAACAGCTCCAAGGAAACGAGTATAATTTCTTTCACAATAATGTAGCCGAAAGCATTGCGAAAACAAAGCAAGTTACTGTAGTCTCCCTCTAATTGAACAGGGAGCCTGTGTGATGGTATGCCAAAGTACGGAACACAGATGATTTGCTGTGGGGCCGGCAAATTGGTTCTGAAATACCGGTCTTGACCTCCATCTCTGACCTCCTTCCTCGCCTCATTTGCATAATGACAGCTGCACGTGGCAGGGAGTGATCTGTTATTAGCATAATCTGAGGATAATGGTGGCATTGGCGTGGTGGGCTGCTGGCTGGGTGTTTTATGGGCACTGGTGGAGGAGAGGTCAGCTCAGCTAGTTACCAGGTGTGCACAGAGTACCGGTGATGGTTGTAGTGCTGCTACCAGTATTAGGATTCCTTCATCCTACCAGTCCAAGCATCATTTCACTGTTTATGAGAATGGTGCCCCGTGGGCCAACCTAGCAGAGGCTAGGGAGCTGTTTCTGAACCCTGATTTATTTGTACAAGAACAGGCCAAGTGTGTGTGGCCGAACCTAGACTCCAGATGAGACTTACTAGTACTTTGTGACTGGTATCTCCTTTTTTTTTTTCGGTTCCTATAGATAGGGGCTAGGCTGTTGTTATTTTGTGTATGCACAGGGACATTTCAAAAGGTGTTGTGGCTGAGCTGTATCAAGGCAGTTGCTTCCGGTCCCCTGGGCAAGAAAAAATAAGGGGGGGTGGAACATGGAGAGGTAAAAGTGGTCACTCAGTTTGTAGACAGACAGGGTTGGCAGTGTGCTGTGGAAGGGGAGTTTGAAAATAAAGGTGAGAATGACCGAAGAAACTATCCTGCTTAGACTCAGAGCATTGTTGGACTCACAGTTGTGGTGGCAGTGGATAAAATGAACAGAGGATTTTGGGACCACAAATTCTGAATGTTCAGACCTCTAATTTTATTCTCTGAAATTAAAAGAAACGAGAAAAGTATAGATTGTAATCTAAAATTTCCATCAATTTAAAGGGTTATTTTAAGTGAAGCCTTTTTTAAGTAGATGTACATGTTTGTGAAGTCAATTGGCATATGACCATGCATCATTTGTTTTAGCTCATAATTTTTTTTCCTGGCATATGCACTTCCAAAGCGATGTTTTCATCACAGTAAGACGAGCCAGCAATCCTGAAATGTTACATGTTCACCATGTGGTCTAACATCCACAGCCGCTGGTGAATCAATTAGCTTTGGATCTAGGGATCCCAGTTGACCCAATTAATGTGTTGACAGCATGTACCATGCACAACCAGCAGAAACAGAGATCTACAGTCCTACTTATCCCTGATTTTGCTCAGCATTTCCAAGAAAAAAGAGTCTCCTACTGCAATCCCAAGAGGACTATGTGCACATCGTGTAATATGAAGTGAAACTCTGTGTACATGTACATGTACCGGTAGGCCTGCATGTCGTTCTTTTAATCATGAGTTAACTTTTAGTTCAGCACACATACATGTACATGTGTTAACCTACATGTACATTTGATTTGGTGGAACTTTTCCCAACTGGTTATAAGCAGTGTTGTAGTCGAGTACTTTTCAAGCACCGAGTTCTCTGCCAAATATTGAACTACTTAGGAGGGAACAAAGCTGGAGTACTTGGCTAGCTGAGTACTTTCCAAGTACTTTTCTCCTTAAAACTTAATTTGTGGAAAAAGTTGGTGTGTCTGAAGTCTAACATTTACTTTGTAATCTTATCTTTGTCCATTTACCATCAAATGCCTATGTACATGTACGTGTACTCCAGCTTTATTCCCTCTCACCTAGTTCAATATTTGGCAGAACACCTGGGTATTCGCAAGTAGTCGACTGCAACTCTGCTGGTTAATTCTTGTGTTGGCCTGACATTTCTTGGCATATCCAAGTCAATTTCGAAGTAATGTAAGAATTCATTCAGCATGTCTGTTACCAATTAGCCCGCTTTATTACGTCCAGTGTAAAAAACATAAAGCAGAATACAGATGTTGCCACAGTCAGTAGACATTCTGCCGGTTTGCTCATATATGTACATTTCATATCTTAAGAGGATGGTGCAATGTGTAGCTTCAGTCATTCTAATTGCTGGATTGTTTGTCCTCAAACTTTCATCCTGTGTATCAGTGCTGAATCTGAAGATTTACCTCTCTATCTTTTGTAACGTGTACATATTGTGCTCGCTTTGTACTTTATTGATGTTCTTCAAATATTGATGTAACTTCGAAAGGGCATGGCAAAGTATTGAAAGAAATTCGAGTTTGTTTGTTATTTTTCAAAATGAAGAACTTCAGCTGAAATTGCTCTTTTAGGGGTGGGTGATTTGAGAAACAAAAAGGAGTTGGACTATTGAGTTGCCTCATGGTTAGTGGCACGGGTCTTTTACCTACCAGGGGAATTCTACCCACTACCAGAAGCCCAGTATGGGTGACATTGCATGCATGGGTCAGGCTCTTGTCTTATCTCAAGCAGTATCTCTAACATCCACCACCACATCCGTTGGTGGTACATGGGGTACCCAGGAGCGTGTGTGCCATGCTTGCAGGGTGCCTGGGTCTCTGTGAGATGCAAAAGGGGTGTGGCCTAGCACCAAGTCCTGGGCTAACCGGCGTGTGCCTGGCTTGGAGCACAAGGAGCCCCCCTGCTGGGTAGCCACACTCCGGCTGTCACCTCTCATTTGCATCCTTGGAGAGTTGGCCTAGCTCCCTCCCTCCCTAATGCCCCCCCTCAACCCCAGGATCCCGGCTCCGGGATTGGTCCCTGAGACACCAGGCACCAAGCAACTTTTTTCTTTCCAGCTTCTCTCAGGGCAGCCGCTGGTCTGGTCGCATGGCAGGCTTGCTCCCACTCCATCACCAACTGATTAATGACAATACCAAGACACCACTGCCAGCGGCACACGCCAGCCAGAGAGAGACAGAGAGAGAGAGAGGAGAGGAGGCGGAGGCTGCTGTGGAATGTGAACTTTTTTCCCCCTCATTGGCCAGCCAATAAGTGGACTACATCAGGGAGCCCTACTTGCATAAACATTAGCCTACCAGTCCGCTCAGCTGTTTTGGCCCGAGATTGGTCGCTAACATAAAGCAGTAGCCTAGTGGTGGTGTGTGTGCTGCCTGCTGCCAGCTGTGTCTTCTGTTCTGTAGTAGCTGTCCCCCTTAGATGCATCTTTTTTCAAGGGTGCTGTTTCTAGGCTCTCTTCCTGTCCTCTTTTTAAAATTATTTTGTTGTCTTGCCAGCAATTTTTTTGGTGTTGTTCTCCCAGACACTTGTCTTATTGGATATCACCAAATATCTTGGAACTCTTTATGTTTCTGTTCTCTACACTCGTGATCATTCTAAGACGTCATTCCACAAGCAACATCAGTGAGGTGGGCATTTAAATGTTCCGGGTGGCTTTTCCAGAAAGCGGTACCCAGCAGTCGACAGTACCCAGCACCCACCACTTTGAGGACTCCACCCTCCTCCGAGCACGGCTCTCCCCGGGGCAGCCCGTCTTCACCGTACATTCCATCAGTTTTTCCACTTTCCATTTCTCCGAGCCCTCGCCGGGACGCCATTTCTCCGTCAAAGTCCACCGCGTTGCCGATTCCATGCCTGCGGGGAACCAGTGAGAACGGAGCAATTCTGCATGAGTTTGTTAGCGCGAGCCTTTGCCATTGCCTTTTCTCCTAGTATGGTTACCGGCCCGGCAGCGTACATGACTAAGAAACAGAAACAGAAGCGGAGCAAGAAGAGCAAGAAGAGCAAGGAACTGGAAAAGCAAGACAAAAAGTGTAAGTCCAAACTATTCTTTCCACTCCACCTTGAGCATTTGTGTCCCAACCTCTTCACAATTCGCTCTTCTTCAAATGAGATTTATTGTGAAAGACGAAAGTAAAACACAAGTTTAACAGATTTTTGTCCACATTTTCTTTGACTTTACTATCGATCAAAATGACAAAAAAATTGTAGAATTTATGAATTGTTGTCGTGCTTGTTGCTGCTTCTTGGATGAATTCATTCCTGATAGCAGTTCTTCAATGGTGTTTTGTTTTTGGTTTCCTCAGGTACTATTTAATATTACTTTGAGAAATCTAAAATGACCCCACATGACCACTTTCTGACTAACTGGATGAGTACTGGTACAGACCATCTGCTGTACCCTAGTAGAGTAAATTAGTTGCAGATAGCATCAGACTTTAAAAATTTTTGGCATAGATGGCTAGATGCCCTCTGCCATCTGAGAAATTCACTCAAATAGCCCGCATGGTAAATTTACCCATGATGTACTCCTAAAAAAATGAGGCCAAACCATCAAAATGGAAAAAAAAAAAATCCAATTTTTTCCGATAAAAAGATTGTGGTGAAGCATTCCAGCGCTGTTATAGGTTATCATGCACTGTGGTTGATGCACACGCGACAGAAGGATCAAATTCATGTGTGATCCCCTGGAGCAATTGGGCTGAGATTTTAAAGGGAAAAGCCAGAATGGTTCTTACTTGAAAGAGAACGAGTATACTGAATCTTGGGTGGATAGTTTGGCGAGTGCTCGTGTCAGACATTGGGTCTTTTGCTGCTGCTGCACTTGGAAAATTTTTTCTTGCGGGGGGTCCCAGTGAAGTAAGTGCAGTTTTCAACCCAGAGTGTTTGTTTTGCTGTTGTATGAGATCATCTGCATTTTCTCATAATGAAGTAAAAAAGCCTCATTGTTCTGGAGGTGTACATGTAGAGTGATTGACGATACCTTGTGCCTGTGACCATTTGCTTTGGCTGCAACTGTTGCTCTCGTCTTTGAAACGGTGGTGACTGTTGCTTAGATACTGCCACATCTTCGACAACAAATTCCCTGAGGAAATTGCATGTGTGTCTTTACATCTTGCAATCACTTCACAATGTAATTATGGCCAGCTAGCAAGGAGGGAGGGGAGAAAAGAAGATGAGGAGAGTGAGGAAAAACAGTGGACCTTTTCTGTCACCTGGAGACAGTGACAGTCAATTAAGTGGAGATGGTCCTGGGGGGCCAAGTTGGGAAGTGATGCGCTCCAGTGTGGGAGGAGGTGTCATCCCCGCATCTGATTACGCACACCTGTTGGCCTTCGGGAGGATGGAATGCCACCGCGGCATGATGATGATGATGATGAGATGAGAGAGCGAGGGACAGACAGGGAGGCTGATGAGGACGCCAAACATGTGTCGTCGCTGGCCCAGTAACACCACACCAGGATGCGGACTTGGCAATCTCCTCCCTCATTGTTGCTGTCTCAGCAGGGGAGAGCATCATCCGAGGATGGCAGCCGTCCTCTATGCATGGTACATCTCCGCTGACCTTTCTTGTCGTCACCCTCTCACCTTGCAGGCTCTTCACACTTGATTTTTGCTATCTTACGCAAGAGGATGGGGCGCGCATCACTGAGAGGAGACTCTTGCTTGAGGATTCTTCTGGGAAGCACTAGGCAGGCCACCAATTAAAATCTTCACGGCTGAAACAAGATATTTCAGGAAGTAACCAGTGAAAAAGGAAACAGCTAGATTACTTTGTAAGCACATCAGGCTTGCACCTTGCAAAATTCTGCACAAATTATATCAGAGGTTTTGCTGGTTACAGTCAAAACCAGCTATAAGCAAATTCGTAATTTGCATCCAGATGGAAAGAATACAGCCCTGTCATTGAGGGATTACTTATGCTTGTTGGAGGTTGCAATTCTTCTGCACAGCAAAGTGCTTCGGTCATCTCATGTGACCTTTAACTTGTGTTGTCATCCTATGCTAAGGTTTGAGCATTTTGCTTTTTCCTTTATGTCTGGAAATGCATGTAAATCCTGACATTTTGGGAGATGTTTTTAGTTCTGTCTATTCTCATTCTTTCCCTCATCTGTCTTTTCCACAGTCTGTTGCCTCCAACCTTGCCAACATCACCAGATCCTAATGTTATTTTTCTCCACCCCTAGAGATTTATCATCCCATGTGTTGGCGACTGCCATATTTTTTTCTCCTCCTAAATTCTCCGCGTCCCCACCCCCGTCCCTCTTTACCACCAGCAACTCCTCTCCAACCTCCTTAATGACATGATTTCTGCGGGTTGGCTGTCTCGTCTGGGAGATTTATCACAGCATTTGCAGGATGTCATCTTTTGAGCCTTGTCCAAGATCATCATTTAATTGAGATGTCAGTGTTGCCATCCTTGACTGATAGCGAACTCCCAAACCTTCTTACAGTTGACTTAACTCCAGCTGGACTGTTCACGTTGGAAACACATTTTCCTTGTGCGTTTCCTTGACATGCCTTCAGAATGATTCCTTTGGCAACCCAGAAAGAAATTATTTATTTGCACTATGAAATTAATTGTTCAACTGCCAAATAACCTTGGTTCATTTATCAGTTGCCTTTGCAAGTATGAGTTATGGCAGTGTGAGTATTCTGAGGACAGCCGTGTTACTAAGAAACTTGAGGTTTAATGGTTCAGTAACGTTTAGGGTTTAAAGGTTTGTAAGATGGTGCAAATGTCCAAGTCCTCAAAACGGATGATGTCTTATTTTTATGCCCTCCCACTCATATCAACTCCAACAATACATCATCCACTCAGAACAAACACTGCACAGTTTGGGTCATTGCAAAATCCCTTCGTGGTGGGGCCAGTTGCTTCCCTTCAACAATGGGTTTCACTTTCTCTTTGTGAGACAATGCACACTTGACTCATACTGTGATGATGTTGAGCCTCCATTCCCTCCCCCCCCCACATCCCCCTTGGGGAGCCATTAATGGATCAGATGATAGCGATCAGATAGGCTTGCCAGCTCAGCAGAATCCCCAAGCAGGAGTCCTTTAATTTAGCCAGTTTTGTGTAAGGATTCCAAACTTCTGGTAACTGGAGTTACAGCTCCCCAAGTCATACATGTACTGCTAGCTTTAAGAATTGGAGTGAATGTGAACATGATGTTACTGTTACCTGCACCTCAGTTGATGTTTGAAGTTTGACACTTCTAAATTCTCCAACAGTTCAGGAATTTAGGACTCAAATGAGGGTAAGGCAAGGCCCAACAGAAAAGCCCAGCCAGTGTGATTTTCTTTCTTGTTTGGTGTTGCAGTTTAGATTCTAGAAAGTATATTTATTATTGAACTCATAATTGTACATGTAGTATTTGCAAAACCAAAAATGTTCTCTAGATGCATGTAATTTTGATTGTTGGACATTTGAAAACATGCTTTTTTAATTTCTCTACTTAGTTATAAACTGGGTAAAGAAGTTTTCTGTATTAAGTCAGAAACTGATGGGGGGAAAAACTAGCGATTTCTCTGTTTTCTTGCACATGCACTGGGTTGGCTAATCTCCCTGCACTTTGAAAAGTCAAACAATGTGGTGAGGGGTGGGCTGGTTCCCCCCCCCCAAAAAAAATTAACTATGTTTAAGACAAGAGCTTTGAGAAATTCTTCGTACCAGGTTCTAGTGATGCTCTGCCCCTCTCAACCCCTTCAAGCCCCCTTGGGCTTGGAGTGGATTATGGTTTTATACGGTCGCTTTGCCTCCAATTCTGACAAGTTTATACACAAAGGGAACCCCTGAGTGCTGATAAGGGAAGGCTATCTGGCCATATTCCTGGTGAAACGCCAAGGTTTTCTTGGCTTTCTCTGGCTTGGTGTACTGCTGGTGAGGCACAGGTTGGAACCATTTGGTAGGGTCTGTCTTGCTGACTGTTTGAGAGGATGAAATAATACATGTACATTATTGCAAGATGTGTGTAGGCGTGCTGTGGTTGGAGCCAAGAACAGGGTCTTATTTGTATGCCTGCTGTTATGTTTCAGTCATATTGTGAAATGGGTCTAGGTCTTAGTGTACGTGGATGTGCCGAACAAGACAAGGGCATGTACAGTATACTTGCACTTCATCATTTCATGGATGGTGTGGCATTGAAAAGAATTCAAGTCCTGAAAATCTCCATGAGCTACAGGTTCCAAAACATGTCATCCTTGAATACTCAGTTGGCATGTGATCAAGAAAGATTGCACAAAGCACATCCCACCTCAGCCTTCACTTTGTTCATGAAACAAAGGATACACCTCTCCCGTAGGTGCTGCGTTGCCACGTTGGTGTGCATATGCATGAATGGCCCGTTGGAGATATCAGAAAAATTTGCATTCCTTAACTCCACAGAAGTTTGCATAATCATAAAGAAAATAAATCCCAAAGTCCCTCCTAGGTGTAAATTTACATAATATGACGATGACGAGGGGGGATGGGGAATGAAACTGTGCCCCGTAGCAGCATGTGCCCGTTATCAACCCAGCGTTCCCGAGGTCATCTTTCACTCCAATCATAAAAACAACAGCCAAACTTGTCAGGCTAATTTATCCTGTCAGGGGTCTGCTTGGTATTGCTGCTGGGGAAAAAAAGGGTCACCGGCCAAGATGTTGCATCATTTGTACAGCATCTGACTGGTCCCCTGCTAATCTAGGTGGTCTTTCTTTCTAACTCTGTACATACATGTAGGCCTAGTTATTTTTTACTCTCTATGACCCAAGGATCTGTGCCTTTTCTTTTTATGTGAACTGTTGGCCGTACTTTATTGCTTCCCACCCAGAGTTAACCGAATTTCTTAAATTTCTAAAGAAATCTGCATTTCGCTTTAAATTTAAGATCTGAGACCTCAAAACCCTCATTAGTTATAATGAATGGGAAAACATGTTCTGTTCCTGTGAAGTTGTGAGCACCTACACGTACTGGTGTACCATTGTGTGGCTTCAAACACGATATTTCTGTGAGCTAACCAACAATCATGCAAGCTCAACCCCGACCCTA